GAAAAACAAGGTCATATTGTTCGCAATATACTGAACGTCAGGCATCGACATAGTACAGTGCACAAGGTGTCAGTGCTACGGGCATACAGAAACATATTGGGCAAGACCGTATACTTCTGTTAAATGCGGAGGCGAACACAACACAACCTTGTGTAAAAAGAATCAAAATAATCCAGAAAAATGCACCCTAGGCGGAGGAAACCACCCGGCCGATTACAAAGGTTGCGACATGCATAAAAACTTACAAAAAGCAAGAAGCAAAACAACAATTCAACCACGACGAAACTTCACTCAATCACTTAACACAAATATTAACATCAACAATAATAATTTCCTCCTTTAAACCACAATCGACAGACTCCCTATTCCAAAATACACAAAACCTGCAGTCATCCGACATATCACAGCAGCTTTCAACCTTCTTAAATGAATTCAAAGTTATGGTCAACCAGCTAATCAATCAAAACCGTATGGTATTAAATATGCTAAGCACTCTTATAAACAACATCGTCCAATAATGGAAAATTCGCTACGAATTTTACTCTGGAATGTCAACGGGCTTCAAACCACAAACTAGAACTGCAAAACTTTCTACAAATACATAAAATACATATTGCATTAATATCAGAGACGCACTTCACTACTAGAACAATGTTTAAAATACCACACCACAAAGTCTACCATGTTCCTCACCCACATGGTACTGCACATGTGGGTGCAGCTGTTATAATTCGAAGTGCAACCACTCACCATGAACTACTGCACCAACAGTCAAACAAAATATAAGCTGCCAATATTCAAGTTGATGCTAACCCCTGACCTTCTACAATCTCTGCCATCTACTGTCCTCCCAGACATGCTATATCTGCCGAAGAGTACACAAACCTCTTCCAATCACTGAGATCTGAATTCCTGACAGGCCGCGCCATAGCTCAAGCGGTTTGTCGCTGGCTTCCCACCGCGACGGCCCGGGTTCGATCCAGGGTCTGGTCATCAAGTGGAATTTGTTGTGCACAAAGTGGCGCTGGGGCGGGTTTTCTCCGAGTACTTCGGTTTCCCCTGCCAATCTTCATTTCACCAGATTCTCCATCATCATAATCATCCGGGGCAGGCTACAATAGGCCAATCAGTGGCCGCCGTGCCGACTGTACCCAGTTGGACTCCACCCCCCACTAAGCGAATTAAAAAAAATCCTGACAGGTGGAGACTGTAACACTAAACAGAAGGAATGGAGAGAGAGAGACTTGTAACACCAAAAGGGAGAAATCTCTTACACGCCATAAACAGACAAAACTGTAAATATCTTAGCATAGGCGAAGCGACGTACTGNACAGGTGGAGACTGTAACATTAAACAGAAGGAATGGAGAGAGAGATTTGTAACACCAAAAGGAAGAAATCTCTTACACGCCATAGACAGACAAAACTGTAAATATCTTAGCATAGGCGAAGCGACGTACTGGCCAACAGACCTAAATTAGTTGCCCGACATGTTGGGCTACTTTGTACTCCACGGCATAACGACACACTACATGCAAGTTGAATCCAGCTTCGAGCTATCGTCAGACCATTTCCGGTAATTGCAACTATGAGCGCATATTCGGTAAGTAAATCAACAACTCCAACGCATATCACAAAACAAACCAATTGGAACAGCTCTCGTACATACACAGAAGAACGCATAAATTTAAACTTAAGACTAAGAGAGCCGAACGAACTGAACGAGGTAACTCAGTATTTTACCGCCTTAACACAGGAATCGGCGTGGTATTCAACACCCACCCCAAAGGAGCAGAGAAAGAAAATAAATAATATTGTGACGTGTTGCGCTATGGATGACGCCCCTCCCTCCCCGCCAGCGGTGACTTGGTGGCATCGGAGCACTGTCGTTACTTAGGTAACAGGCAGGTCAACACTCCTTCCCCTACCCCGCCAGCGGTAACGTAACATGGGACGCCGCAGTTGCTACGCAGCCGTAAACAACTCCCAACAGCTTTGCTAGGCTATCGGCAAGCAGGCAACCAGGTAACAAGGAAGCAAGGCGTTTTCCCGTTGTCCCTCTGAGGGTTTATAAGAGAACTACACAGCCGCCGAAGACAGATGGAATCTACATAACATAACATAAACATAACATACATAAACATGTAATATAAATCACAATGACAGTGAAATTGGAAACTTCATGGAAATAGCATGTCAAATGTCGTTAACTATCAAACCATTCTCATCTAGAGAAATAGTATAAGAAATTAAGAACATAAATCCGCACAAAACACCCGGTTATGACCTTCCTCATCACAGGATAAGTACTTAAATAATTAACTAGAAAAGCAATAGTATTGCTAACAACCATCTATAACAGTATGTTCAAATTGTCGTACTACCCGATTATGTGGAAATTCGCCAAAATTATAATTTTTTTTTGTGTACCTCCGTTTATATGTACAATCAGTCCATATTAAGGACTATAAGTACATCTTATGAAATACTTAATCTAAGACTTAAATACTAAGAAAGAGCAGTGAGCATTCTCTGGAATCTATTTCGAGTATGACTTTGTTATTGTATGTATTTCATTTATGTGAGACGCGTCGTTAGGTCGTTTGGCTTATGCCTTTTCAGTCTTCTGGGCTCGTCTGCGTCGTTTAATAATATGGTTGCCAGTAAAATCATAATGAGATCTAAACCCGGGAATCCAGCCAATGAAGTAAGTCGGTCACATCGAAGTTCTTTGAAAACTTACCATTGAAGAGAATTGGAAACGACCTAGACCTGTCAACTGTTACTCCCGATTACCAATTTCGATTCAGGGAAGGACACCCCACAATACAACAAACCCATAAAATCGTAAACAAGTTCGCAACAAGCCTCGAAGAAAAAACATTATGTACAGCAGTTTTCCTTGACGAAGCTCAGGCGTTTGACAAGGTATGGCACACTGGACTACTACTCATTCATTCATTCATTCACCAGTAATCTCTCAGACGACAGGTCCACAGTATCTTCCAAAACAGTTCCTCCACTTAATGCGATCTAGAGCTTTCTCCTTCAAATGAGAATATCTTCTTCTGTCCCCAAGGTCATCCAGCATCATTCCTTCACTTAATGCGATCTAGAGCTTTCTCCTTCAAATGAGAATATCTTCTTCTGTCCCCAAGGTCATACAGAATCATCTTACGTCTTCTTGTCACTTCTATCCACCCTTCTATCTTCGCATACATGGTTCTCTGTTTTTGGAAAGAGACTATCCCTTGCTGGACAGGTCAAAGGATATGCATCAGACGAAGAGACACACCAAAAACCAAAAATTGATGCCGGAAGCAGAGTCATCAGCAGCGACTGGACTACTATATAAAATAAAAAATATATTCCTTAGCCCATACTATCTACTTTTAAAGTCACTGAAAGACACTTTTAAATAAAATATAATAATTCATATTCAGACTGCTACCAGGTGAAGTCAGGTGTATCGCAAGGAAGCGTGATGGGGCCTCTACTATACTTAATCTATGCTGCAGACTCTCCCAAAACAAGCACCACTACAATCGCAACCTTCGAAGATGACACAGCCCTGCTAGCATCACATCTTCAACATCACTTAAACCTCCTCCAACAATGGTACAGAAAATGGAAAATAAAAATAAACCAGACGAAATCAGTGCAAATTACATTCACCACGAAACGCGTAACTTGCCCGCAGGTTGCCATCAATAATATGCAAATACCGGTTCAAACAGAAGTAAAATACTTGTGATTATACCTCGACCAAAAACTGACATGGCAGAAACACGTCAAAACACAGCATCACAAGTTAAATTTAAAACTACGAGAAATGTCCTCGCTTTTGGGCTATAAATCCAAGCTATCCATAAAAAGAAATTTCTACTACATAAATGCATAATAAAACCCATATAGACATATGGTATACAGCTATGGGGCTTTACAAAACCATCAAACACAAAAATAATTCAAAAACTTCAATCCAAATTCTTGCATTCAGTAACTAAAGCACCTTAGTAAGTCTCCAACTTTACTATCCACAGTGATTTACAAAACCCATTCGTCATAGAATACATAGATTGTCAACACTGTACAATCAAAGCGTACTCGGACACAATAACAAACTAGTTGTAGAAATCAGCGACCCACCAAATGTAAGAAGAAGATTGAGGAGACAGTGGCCGTCTGACCTACCGCAACCCGCAGATGACGAAGATTAAAACCATCACAATTCCTCTACAGGGCCTGTCAGAATATCGTCAGTGAATGCCTTCTCTACTCAAGACAGCTACTTGGAACAAATTTACTTATTATTCTACATTATGGAGAGTAGATTGTAAATATGCCATTAATTAAATAAATAAAAATATATACTACGTATATACTGACATAACGCCTAAAAGCCGGAATAGCTTAGCCAGAGGAGACGACCATTGCTAGGCAATGACTGGGTTAACACGTTTCCGCAGCAACGAATACATAATTGTTAAAGCCGAGGAGACGCCCATTGCTAGGCAATGACTCGATAAACACGTTCCCGCTGCAAAGAATACGTAGTTGTTAGAAGCCGCTAGCAAGAAACTACTACAGATCACCTGACGGCACGCGTTTATCAGCGCCAATAACTCATCCTGCCATCAGAAGTTACAGCAGCAATCTGTGACAACTGGGTTCCGTTGTGCGCTGCTCCCAGGTTTCCTCCGTAATTGAACGTCCAGTATTGAAGACAGCAAACTGAGACGACTTGAAGTGTGCCCTATTTATTTGCAAGATGATCACAGCTTTTAAAAGATTAAAAGTAAGTTTGTAAGCAAATTTTATGGTCCTTCCTCAGAAACTTGGAGTCACTCAGTTACATAGAAATTCCATGCATCACAAGCACAGTGTTGTGTGCTCCATGCAGTGAAACCCACTTGAGGCCTTCATTTGAAGCAACTGCAGAAACAAATATGCTTTCGCAGCTGTCCTGCCAACATTTTTCAGAAATGTTTTCTGTTTCAGGCAAAGGTAACCTCTCCTACATCACCAGCACCACCTAAAAGTGGCAGCACTCCAAAGAAACCAGAACCTGTGAATCAGAAGGCTTCACCAGATACAGAGTCTACCAGTTTGTGGGGTAAAAAAGTAAGATTCGTCTTTCTTTAATGTCTCCTATTGTTCGCACAAATATCAGAATATAGTTGAATAATTTAATAACTAAAAATGGGGTTATATTGAAGATTTAAATGGTGTCAGTGGATTTAATTCAAAGTTAAAATTATGGTCTTTTGGAATATGACGTGTAGCCTCAAAAATATATATCAGTGTTATGGAAGAGCCTGCTTTCTTTATTTTCTTTGACACTGAAGATGGAGGCTGTAGATTCCTCTAAAATTTTGGGACCTATCGGACCCCCCCAAAAAAACACGTGTCACGTGTTATTAAGAATGCGTGTTTACAGCGCCGTTGCCTAGTAATAGATCTCTCATTCTTCCGCGTATTGTTGTACGCATTACCCAGTAACGGGTTGTTTACCACGAATGTCTCCGCGGGAACGTATTTATTGAGCCGTTGCCTAGGAATGGATGTATACGTCACCGTATCACTCATTCCCCAAATTTAATCGACCCTTACCCTTGTCATTAATAACTAACTCCATGGAGCTAAGCCCTTCTTGACAATCCGCCAGTTGCGCAGCCACTCAAAAATTTCCCAATATTTTTTGGAACCCGAAGGTTCATTACCTTGTTCACAAGAGCCCTCCACTGGTCCCTATCCTGAGCCAGATCCAGTCCATACCACCCCATTCTCTCTCTCTAAAATCCATCTTAATACTATCCTCCCATCTACGTCTAGGTCTTCCTAGTGGTCTCTTTCCTTCTGGTTTTCCCACCAATACCATATATGCATTATTCTTCGCAATATTCGTGCTACCTGCCCTGCCCATCTCATCCTCCTTATATTGGGGAAGACTAAGAGTCATGAAGCTCCTCACTATGCAGTCTTCTCCAACCTCCCATCACGTCATTCCCCTTTGGTCCAAATATTCTCAGTACCCTGCTCTCAAACACCCTCAGTCTATGTTCCTCCCTTAATATCAGAGACCAAGTTTCACACCTATACAAAACAAACTCCATGGTTTTATTCCGCAAGCGAACTATACCGACGGACCGACCGATTTTAGACAGTAGACAAACAGACGAAGGGTTCTGAACTGAACAGTAGCAAGCGTTACCTGAATTCAATCTGCTCTTAATTTCCTCCTGAATCAAATTTTGGTCTCTTATGGTTAGTCATTAACACTGACAATAAATACCCTTAGTGGCTGAGTTTTGAAGGTGGATAGCAGCTCTTCCCATTTTACCTGCCAGCATTATTGGCTTCCTCCATCCCTATTCCCCTACCCTTTGCACCACTCACCTTTTTTTTATTGTTAGTGGGGTGGGACTAAGTCCCTTGTACTGCGGCCACTTCTGGCCTATTGTACCCGCCCCAGATGATAGGTGAGGGTGATTGTGGAGCAATTGGTGGAATGAAGATCGGCAGGGGAAACCGAAGTACTCGGAGAAAACCTGCCCCAGCGCCACTTTGTCCACCACAAATCCCACTTGATCAGACCCGGGCCGCCACGGTGGGAAACCACACACCTTAATAATTCAGACAGGAGTACATATAAAGTCATTAGATGATTAATAACAAATCATTACCTTGAAGATTGGATGGAGGTTCAGAAATCAGTTTCTTTCTTAACTTCCACAGAAAGTGCCAGCCAATGGTCAAATACCCCAGCAGGCATCACAACGTTCTCCATCCACACAATCCTCCCATGGAAAAGCTGCCCAAGGAAGCCAAGCAGCTGAAGATCGTATCGAGTGCCGAATATGCGGAAGACAATTTGCATTAGATCGCATTGCTAAACATCAGGAGATCTGTTCAAAGGCGATTAAGAAGAAGCGTAGAACGTATGATCCGGTCAAGCACCGAGTGCAGGGAACTGAGGCAGAGGCCTTCCTGAAGATGGGACAGCCAAAAGCAGCACCTGTAAGATATCTTCTAGCATATAAACTTGTATTTGCCAGCATTTTGAGGATAGATATGAAGTCTGAGTTATAAGCTGTCATTAATTCCAGCATATTAAGGGTGCTGAAAGACAAGTATTATGATATATGATACAAACTCCGTCCTAAGTGCAACAATTTATTGTAGGTCCTTCGTCTTGCTTTCTTCTACACTACACGTTTCGGCCACAAACGGCCATCATCAGGTGTATACACTCACGTAGCTGTTACACTGCACCCAGTTTAAAATTAAAACACAGGTCTTCCCAATTGTTCCCTTCGTCGCTGCTAACAGGATCTACTTCGCTGATATTTGTCTGATTCGTACATCATCTTAGCCACCCAGACACGGCAATTTTGACCTTCATGAACTGGCACTTTTAAAATCTTCAGTTCCAATTTTAAAAAATTCCTTTAAATTTTTCCCCCCCAAATTTTAAAATATAAAATTTAAAATTCTCTGGGTTACTGCTGCAGCAGCTACTTCTTGTTTTCAGCACTGTACAGGTGTCATTCTGTGTAGGCTCCCTGTGTGCGTGCCGCTGCTTATCTTTACAATTTTTTAAAATTGGAACTGAAGATTTTAAAAGTGCCAGTTCATGNAGCCACCCAGACACGGCAATTTTGACCTTCATGAACTGGCACTTTTAAAATCTTCAGTTCCAATTTTAAAAAATTCCTTTAAATTTTTCCCCCCCAAATTTTAAAATATAAAATTTAAAATTCTCTGGGTTACTGCTGCAGCAGCTACTTCTTGTTTTCAGCACTGTACAGGTGTCATTCTGTGTAGGCTCCCTGTGTGCGTGCCGCTGCTTATCTTTACAATTTTTTAAAATTGGAACTGAAGATTTTAAAAGTGCCAGTTCATGAAGGTCAAAATTAACGTGTCTGGGTGGCAAAGATGATGTACAAATCAGACAAATATCAGCGAAATAGATTCTGTTAGCACCGACGAATGGAACAATTGGGAAGACCTGTGTTTTTAAATTTTAAACTGGGTGCAGCATAACAGCTACGTAAGTGTATACACCTGATGGCCGTTTGCGGCCGAAACATGTAGTGCAGAAGAAAGCAAGATGAAAGACCTACAATAAATTGTTGCACTTAGGACAGAGTTTATATCATATATCGTATAGAGTGCAACAGGATGCTTAAATATAATATTGTAAACAAGTACTATATATGACAAAACTCCATTAGTAATCTGATATGTATATGGTACATTATCCATCATCTTGTTTTGGTTAAGAAAACAACACTTTGCGCACTGGTTGTTTCCATCATGAGGTAAAAGTGAGGCCCATCAGATGGACCTGGTCTCTATGTCCCATCCATGGTTAAAGATTAGGTTCATCTAATGGGCCCAGCAGTAGATTTCATGCTTTTACGTGAGGGTGGAAGCAGAGCATCTGAAAAGCATTTCTTTAACCAAAACAAGAAGTTCTGGGAACTAATTGCTTTTTTTCCTTGATATGACACGGATTGCATTAAAGATGATGTGTCCAATAATTCTTCTATTATTGCATGTGTATTCATTGCCGTGGTAAATTTTTACCAAGCCGTTGCCTAGCAATGAAAGGGGATAAATATATAGACTGATGGGAGGGAGACTCGGGTGCCATGATATACATACCAAGAGTCATAAAGATTAGTTCAGCCATTCAAAAGTTGACGGGAGGAACAAGCAAACACACAGAGAGCATGGAGTTGTATATGTCTACTTTCATTTTTTTTCAAACTAAGGAAAGTAGACTAACAAGAAAATGTATAATATTCAATGTGTCAGCTTAATACCAAAAATGGATAAAATTTCATTTTCAAGGTTAGCCTTCTTGGACTTGGAATACTATCCTAGTATTTGCATAAAAACATTACAGAAATTTGTTTTATTCTCTTACAACCTCATCCATGGTAGGACAGCCCTATCTTGAGGCCCAACAGAATAAGATTTTTTCATATAATATCCAGTAGAAATGGAAAGAGAGCCAATTTCCAAAAAATATTTTAATGGTTTCCATATAAAAACTAGACTTATGAACAAAATTCAGAAGAACAACCTTGAATGCTGTATCACACCATCATCAAAAAAATTTAAACTTAGTTTAAGATTACTTCTGTTTAATGGGCTTACATAATATGTTAATGTTTCCTGCCTCTTCTGCACTGACAGTTTCTATGCCAACCAACAAAACGTTTTCCATGTCATATAATATTCAAAATCTTCATACACAAGTACTTTAAATTACAGTCATCTGAGATGAGACTCCACGTAGTGTAGTAGACAGGTCTAAAAATTATGAAGGAACCTGCTAGCTCCATCTTCTAACCTGAAGAGGAACACAGCTGGATCCTCCAAAATACTGGTACCTATCTCCTAAACTAAATATCATTGCATCCCATCTGTGTTCACAATGTGGACCTCAATTTCACACAAGCACACTGTCCTGTTGAGTCCACTGTGTACTCATGCAACAAAATCAGTATACATATTATAAATGGTTATCAACTCGAAATCAAATTAGTATTCATACCTATGCACCATGCCAAAGCATCATGATCGCTATGTTATTTTACTGGGAAGCATTTAAAATGGAGTTAAAGCTATCCCTGTAACAAGCCATGAAAGCCCACAGGGTCACGAGACGTTGAGGCTCCCACATTTTCTAGAAAGTCGGCTCCCAGATGGCAGTGAGATTGTCAGTCTTACATACCAGCTGCTCTTTAGCCATCCAGGAAAATTCCTGGTACTCATTTCTGTTAGAGGCTGAGTCGACCACAGGGCCATAATGCGGCTGGAAGGGTTAGGTCAATTGAAAAAGCCAATGACCTCATCGGGATTTGAACCCACCTTCCAGCTTGTAGCATAGTGCCTCAACCAACTACGCTACTGCATGCCACTTTAAAATGAAGTTAAAGGTACAAAAATTGATGGATTTAAAAAATTACACACACACAAATAAATTTGGAAAGTGTCACTTAATAAAACAAGGGTCCAAGAAATACATCTGAATATTCTTGTCTTATTTCAAATTTCTTCACTGAGATTGATAGTGGTCTTAACAGTAGCACGTGTGCACACGTATTAAAGATAAGCAGCGACACATACAGAGAGAACCTACACAGAACAATACCTGAACAGTGATAAAACAAGAAATGGCCACTGCAGCACTATAGACATAGGGCGTGTACCCTGAGAAAATTTTAATTTTAAAAAATTTGGAAAAAGAAAAAGAACAGAAATTTTATAGACATTTTAACTTGAATTAAAGTTTTAAAAAAGTGCCAATTTTAGAAATCAAATTAACGCGTGTAGGTTAACAAAGATTTCATACAATTAGAAAGACTGGTGATTTTAAATTTTAAACTACGGGCAGTGTAGCAGCTATGTAAGAATACACACCTGATGATGGCCATTTAGGGCCGAAACATGTAGTGTGGAGGAGGGAAAGAAGAAAGAACTACAATTAAATTGTTGCACTTAAGATGGTGTTTGTCTCATATATATTTCACTTCCAATTACAAACGATAAGTCTCCAATTCAATCTTGGGTAACTTAATATGAAAATTATGGTCGAGGCACTAGGACACATTTTTCTCTAAGTCCCTCTGGTTTACCCTGCTACTCATCAGTTCACCATTGCTCCACATTCATCTATCACCACTCCATGAGGCATGGAACAATCCTGACAAGACATCACAGCATTGCACCCTCTGTTCTTAAATGCAGGGCTTCATCTTCAACCAAGTACTTGGTTGGCTACAGTGTTTTTCCATATCAAATATTTATTGTCCTTGTCCTTTTTACAGCCGGTAAAGAAATCAAATTGGCGTCAGAAACATGAAGACTTCATCAACACCATCCGTGCTGCAAAACAGGTGAAAACACATCTGGCACAAGGAGGGAAGCTGTCTGACCTTCCTCCACCTCCATCCTCAGACTACTCTGATTACATCCAATGCCCTCACTGCTCACGACGCTTCAACCAGCATGCCGCAGAGCGGCACATTCCAAAGTGTGCCAACTATGTATTCAATAAACCAAAACAACCACAAGGAGGCAAAGGAATACCAAGTAAAGGTGTGGTACCCAGGAAACGTTGATATGGAAACAGTCTTCTTCAATATCCTTATGAAGAGAATCATTACTCACACAACCTTTTTAGAAACTACAATCTACATAGTTAACAGTGAATATAATTTTAACATATTAGCATTTATCATTAGTTCCCTCAGATTACATGCCATTGCAGACTGATGCTTAATATATGAAACATATGTATTAACAAGAGAATCATATTCTTTATATAGACAGATGTATTACTTTACTTATAAGATATTTTAATATAAAATATGTTACATTTAATTTATATTTTAACTACTTAAGAACATTAAGGCCTAATGCCAATAAACAAAGTGGAAATCAGAACTACGAGGGCTGGAATACGATAACAATTTAGAGAAATAGTTTAATACTCTGAACTTCAACAAGGTTCTTGTCTCTTACTGGTAATCCAGTTTTAATGCACAGCATTTTGATAAAAAGATGTCAGGAATAAGAATCACAGGAATGTCAGAAGAAACTCATGGGTTTGCAGTAAAAATTGAGCCAATTAATGCTGTTATCACACACTCAAGCCTCAATTTCTTCATCTTACCACATAAGGAATCTAATGTTCCAAATACTTCATGTTCTTCCACTTAAAATCAATAATAAAATATATTAATATTGCATATAAGCTGGTAAACAAAATGTATCTATTTTAAAATAAAATTAACTGTTTCTGATAATACAGATATCATTCATTTATGTGTAATATGATGTGAGGCCCTCAAACCACTAAGTATTAAGGTTAAAGATATTCTTAGATATAATTCTGAGTAATATAATACATGGTACCAACACTTCAGAGGAATGTGCCCCAAATCTTTCTACTTATCCACCATACTGCCTGATACCACCATCCAAAAGACCATAATCCTATATATAATACTGCACATTATTAAAAACAAAATTAAGAGCATTCAAGTGCAGAAGATTCAGTCTCATGGCAGCTGAAATTATCTATTGTTCCAAAATTGAATACATCACCTTTTACAGGCTCTTGCTGACAATAAGCAAACACACCAGAAAAGGCATGAAACTGCTGAAAAATTTCATCCTGCCTGACAGCAGAACTTACAGAAAACATGTGTACACTAGAGTTACAGATCACTTGGAACAAAGTAATCTTATGCAAACAGTTTTCAGATTAATATCATACTGTCACTCAGGGAAAATTTTTAGCTGTTTTTTTTATTATGGGATAACAGGCATATAACTTCTGTCTAAACAATACAGCTTTGATTAGAGACATACCTGAAAACTCAAATTTACCATGGAAAGAAGAAATGAACACCTACATGGCATGTAAACTAACCCAAGATCAGCAGTCAAACAGAACCTGTGTATAAATGAAGCACATTTCAGCAGCAGCTCTAAATGGGGGCTACACGTACCCCCTGAAGCCTCATACATGCGTACATGAGATATACTTTATACATTATCAAACACTGGTCAAAAAGGCTAAAACTCATTTTGACTGCTTTCTTCTATACAATTATTTGTGCACATCAAGTAAAAAGAAAGTTTGTTTAAAGTGAAGAAGTGTTGTTTGTGTCCCACCACATTTATAAAGTACATGAACATGAAATCTGGACCAATATAAAGTTGTCACAGGAAAGCAGTATGTAAAGTTCCACTCAAAGACCAAGGGCTATATGAAGTTTCACTACCAGACAAAAAGGTATGCAAATTTTCACTCTAAAACCGACGAGTACACTGACCGAAAACCATTCAGAAATATTGTATTAAAATGAAGTTCTTTTAATCATTTCCTTATTTTTCTCTTCTCCCCAATTTGTAAACATATCAAATGGCTTCATTAGTATCTTATCTGAATATTTAAAACTGTACATCAATAACATGTTTCTCAGGATTTAGTAAAAACAAATCCATCTTTTATTTTTAATGTAAAAAAGGCTAATCAGTGTTCATAAAGAGATGTATCTCAATTAGGTGGGTTTCAGAACAACAAATAAATGAGTTTTATCAACAACTGGAGTAAAAGCCCATCTTCAGCCTTCAAGGTCATTATTTTGATCATTAGATCAGACATTTGTCAGCATTCAGTAGCAAACAAAGTCTGGTTTTCCCATGGATACAGCCTCAATGTATTACCATTTGCCAATGTGCACAATGGGCATAAAATAAATAACAATTTAAAATACTGAAACGTTTTAGATATGTTTCTTCAAGTAGTACTTTAGCATTACATTATGACAATTTTAAATCTGCATACATTTTTGATACTAACTACATAACATCCAACTACCTGAATGTTCAACTTAGGCAACTGAAATATGAGTTCCAGAAAAAATGTTGCCACTGTGATAAATGTAATGAGATTTGTATGAGATATTATATTTTAAAACTCTAGTCTTATGAAGTTTCTAGGCAGAAGGGTGCATTATGGGAATTTCAGAAACTTAAAGCAGAATATAATAGCTTGCAGAAGCTGCATCATAACACTTGTATGGTATATAAGCCAATTATATATTTTATACTGCTACCAGGAGTATATGTCATCATTCAATGACACACCAATGAGATGGGATCAATAAATAACAATCATTTGTAAATGACTCATTAAACTGATGTTGTGAATAAGGAATATTCATAACCACTTATCCTTACTCCCTGTCACCAAGTACACTCCTGTAACCACAGTTCACTTTATTTTGTATCTCATTCCTACTTTACTGAATGATACTTTCAATTGCTGAGATTACACAGTTTCAAATAACAGGATTAGTAGTTACTATAGGATTCTGACGATGGTGTATAACACAAAGAGATATTGGGTTTTCGGACTTTATCCATCGTCCTGGTTTTAAGATAACTAAGAAAAACACGACGTTTCGGAAACTGGATCTGTTCCATCCTCAGGTGAGGGAAAACACCTGTTCTGTTGGGTCCCTTAGAAAGAGCTAGCCTCAATCGTCCAGTGATTGGAGGCTGCCTATGGAGGCAGCAGGTTCCTCTGAAACACTTACCCATATACCAAACCACATGACATCACATTCCAGAAGACAATCATCTTAAAAAACTTACCGCCGTGAAAATTTAAAATCTCAGCAGAAATCAGCTGTTCCTTGTTACATGTTAGTTCAAAAAAATGTGGCTTCATTATAATGTCAACTGATTTACACCAATTTCAATTGACAGCACTCACTTTAATGAGAAAATGCATGCTGGCTGGTTGAATGAGTATGGAGAAGTGGAAGCAAAGTGCTGTGTAAGTGACAGAAAAGACGTGCAACAAGAAAAAGAAAATTATGTTTGACTTATATGGCTCTTTTCTATTTTTGAACACAACTTTCACATAAATTGAAGAATTCTAGTAAATAAATTATGGAATCCACTGCAGGATGCATTTCTGATAATTAAGAGTCTGTCTCTTGTGGCAGAATTGCATGAAATACAATTAATAAAAAAAAAGTCAATGCAGAAAGGAATGCTAAGTGTTGCAATGAAGAGACAATGTTTGATGCAATCCATGGCAATAGGACTTGTGACCTGATTAAAGGAGTACAAACCCACACTCTCACCAGCCACTCATTCAAACAGTTGTATGATATCCCCTTCATCTCCACTGTTGTCTGCATTCCAATCTTGGAACATCAACAGTAATATATAGCCTTGTACTGTAAAATAATTAAAGAAGTTCTGGGAAGAACTAATCACCTAACTTCCTTTCACTAAATATTGATGATTGCCCTCAGCATGAATCATACAGAAAACACCACCCAACAGTTCGTCAATTGTTGCGTGTAACTGTTTTCACGGGAATGTGTTTATTGAGCCACTGCCTAGCAACTGTCATCTATTCTGGCTTTCAGGCATCATGTCACATGGCTCCCTCCTTAAGGATATTCAGCAATTTGAAAGGATGTAATGTTGTTGTTACTGATGGGAGGGATTTATGAAGTATGCCACTGAGATGGGCACAAGTGCCATGATGTACATATGAAGTTTCATAAAGATTGGCTCAAGCATTCATATACATGAACGCACAGACACCAAGGTAATCTCATAAGCCTACCATTAAAGTAAGTAAAGGTATTCTTGTAATAGGGAATGGAGGCCCATAGGGTCGTGAGATGTTGAGGTGTGGCCGTGTGTGGCGCTCCTATAGCTTCCCATTCGCATGTTCCTTCGTGGCGCCAGCTGTGATGACACACAGTGTTACGAATACCACGTGTATCGCTGTTCTGTGTCGTTTTAATACCAGTGGATATCCATCATGTCGCTGTCGAAACCACAAAAGAAGAGAAAAGTGGACTTGCAATGTCGTGCTTTTAAGGCAGAGTGGAGTGAGAATTATTTTGTTACTGAATTAGATGGCAAAGCATTGTGTTTATTGTGCAGTGATACTATAGCTGTACTAAAAGGGTACAATATACGTCGGCATTACCAGACTAAGCATTCGGCACAGTATTCCCAACTCACAGGGAAGGAACAATCACAAAAATTAGAAACTTTGAAACGGAGTATTTCATTACAACGCAGTTTCTTCATGAAAATGAAAAATGAAAATAAGGCTGCAAGTAAAGTAAGTCTACGAGTAGCTCATTTGTTAGCCAAGGAAGGAAAACCCTTTACTGATGGTGAGTTAATTAAATCATGTTTGATTGTAGCAGTTGAAGAAATGTGTCCAGAGAAAATGGATTTATTTAATAATATCAGCCTTTCCGCGAGAACAGTTGCCCGAAGAGTTGAGGACATTGGTAGCAACATCACTAACCAATTAATTAACAAGGCAAATGATTTCGAGTGGTTTTCCTTAGCTCTTGATGAGTCGACAGACATTACAGATACTGCTCAATTGCTGCTGTTTATTCNTCAACGGTGAACTTCATTCGTTCTCGTGGGCTGAACCATCATCAGTTCCGTGATTTTCTGTCAGAGGTGGAAGCCGAATATCCTGACTTACCCTACCACACAGCAGTTTGTGGCTCAGCAGTGGTAAAGTTTTATTAAGATTTTTTGAACTCAGAGCAGAGATTGAAACTTTTCTCAATGAGAAAAAACGCCCTCAACCACTATTATCGAACACTGAATGCCTTTGGAAATTAGCTTTTGCTGCTGATATCATGAGATTTCTTAATGGATTCAACTTGAAGCTACAAGGCAAAACAGTGCTAATATGTGAAACTTATACTGCGGTAAAATCATTTCGACGACAACTGGCTTTGATTGAGTCACAAATCATGTCAAGCTGTTTCGTGCATTTCCCATGCTGTCAAACATTAAAAGAAGAAGTGGATTCCCCATTCCCGCATGAATTTGCAGGTGATATATTTTCTGAGCTCAAAAAACAGTTCCAGCAACGTTTTTCGGATCTTGATGCAAGTGCAGAAGACATTTCCAGATTTGAAAATCCATTTAACTGTACAATTGAGGAACTTCCACCTAACCTTCAATTGGAAGTGATTAATCTGCAGTGTGATAACATGCTAAAAGGCAAATTCCAAGAGAACAATCTAACAGAATTCTATAAGTGTCTTCCAAGTGATGAATATGGTGAATTAAGATCATATGCTTGAGGTTTGATCTATGTATTTGGTAGTACCTACCTGTGTGAAAAGACATTTTCAAAGATGAAATATGTAAAATCTCAATACAGGTCAGCATTAACAGACGAACATTTGCAATCAATTATGATGATAGGGAGTACTAACTTTGACCCCCAATTTGAAGAAATGTTATCTCAAAAAAAAAATTCCATTCATCCCATTAGTAGCCTAAAGCTGTGTTTCAAACAATGATTGTAGTTCCTTTTGTATTTTTATTATGTTACATTTTCACCAGTAAATTTGTGAAAACTTGTTTCTTAACCTGTTATTTTAACTGTACCGACCTTTAAAGATCCTCGAGTTTGCCTCTTGGCCCTCAGAGTGTAATGTATTTTATATCTGGCCTTTTACGAAAAATCTTTGCCGACCCGTTCTAGACAATTGACCAAAAATGACGGTAAAGTTGTCAGCCCTATGTGCTGGCCGCCCTTTAACCCCAAGAATATTCTAAGATTATTCCTAGTACTCAATTCTGATAGAGGCTCAGTCGACCCCAGGGCCATAGTGTGGCTGGAAGGATTAGCTAAATTGAAAAAATCCACCTCATCGGGATTCAATCCCGTGACCTTCTGGCTTGTAACATAGTGTCATAACCAACTATGCTACTGCATGCCCCCAGGCCTACCATTATGTTTTCAAAATAAGGAAAGTAAATTGAAAAATCATTTGCACCAATGATTAATAATATAATACAATATGTTGGTAGTGTAGATCATGACCACTTTCATTTTTTAAAAGTAAATGCAATATGGATTCCAAAGATGCTGGGTCAAATATGGAGCACTTTCACAAGTTCATGAAACTAAACTATGGAAATATCCATCTTGGAATACCACTAGAAAGAAATAACAGTAAGTACAACACCACAATGAATGGTCAGCATACCACAACCAGAAATATCAATGCTCTATGAAAATCAGATAGATTGTTCAAGATTTCAAAGACAGACACCCTGTATACAATCCAGGTAAGAACACCTAAAATATTACTTATTGCTTCAGCTATTTCAGCTGTTAAGGGCACATGAACTTGAACTTCTTGATAAAAAGGAACACGCTTACTTCACAGTTCCATCACAGATATATTTTATCTTTATAACATCACCAATCCAGATAGCAATAATGTACAGTTTATTCCAACTCAGATCTACCAAAGGTAACCCAAAGGTTTAGATTCTGCATTTTTTATGACTGACAAAGCATGTGACAGAATATCTTGATGTAATACATCAACTTCCTGGTCTGCATTGATGACCTAAAAACAAATATAAAGACAACAGTTAATTACATCCAGCAGTTAATGGAAACAATATTTCATACAATAACAAATGTTTAAAACATATTTTTTATGGGGTAAGAAAAATACCTCAACTAAGAGCTTTAAATAAGTATCATATTTTTAGTTCAGAGTATACACATCTGTACTATGGCTGACATTCTTGGTCTGTGATCTCAATATACATACTACCTCACACACAACATTCACTTACTCTTTCAACAACATCAAGCCTTACTTGCTTGTTTGTTTGTACAGCTTAATCTTCATCCCTGAAGACAGAGGCGGTATGTTCCTCCAAAATATCAGTAAACTTCTAACAGTATACACAGCATCACATCCCAGAAAATGGTACTCTTTGTGTTTGAAGAAAATTTGTTCAGTGTATATTCTACCATGTGCTTAATGTTTCTGGTTCAAAGTAAGAGTCCAAAACTTCATTCTCACTCATGCACATTCTTGTTACCACATCTGTATTACATCAGTTACAATTACAGCTGATCAGTGATTGCATGGTCTACAGCATGTATGGCCTTGAACAAGACTGAAAGTTAGAATTCCAATACAGAGCATGAACACAGGTCTACTTTTCTCTGTGTTGTGTTGTCCCATGTTTAGATGCCTTGTGATGAGACAATCCCCTTTCAAAAGATTCCTAACAAATATTTAAAGGTTTCATTGTTTCAAAATTAATTCTGAACTGGAAGAAACCATACATAGATGAAGAGCTACATTTCCATATTCAGCCATTTATTCAAAACTTGTAAATACCTTCCAGGAGTCATCTGCCAGCTTCAAAAAATTGTTTCTCACTTCCTTTTGTATTTCAGTCACTTCGTATCTTTCAGTTCCAAACCCACCTCTCTTTGAAAGGACTTCAGGACTTAATGAGAGGAAAAAAACGACATCTGGCTTTGGAAGTCCTGTTTCAGCCTTCTTACACCATTCCAGATCCATGCCCTACTCATAAAGAACAAACATAAGAACAAGTAATCAACTTTTAGCTCACTAAGTTCATTATCCTTCACACTTCTGAGACCATAATATTACAGGTACAAGCAACACGGACCTGAGATAGTGCAACTTTAAAAACATGTGCTTCCCAAAATAAAAAATAAAAACGGTAAAGTTGTCCTTGTGCTTAACTAAGTGAGGACTACACCATGAAAATGTATGGGGAAGTGGATGTATGGATCCACATATTCTTCACCTTGGCACTAGATGGAGGTGAGTGGTCAGCTTCACGTCCCAGCGGCTTTACTCCCCCATCCCGGGGAAACAGCCCCCAGCACCTAGTGGATGGACCCCAGAACGGGTTTCAACAGCGCAGAGAGGAGAAAAATCTTGCCCCTACCAGGACTTAGACCCTGACCCCTTGGCCATCCAGCCCATAGTAAGACAGTATACCAACTGTGCTATCCTGGCTCCCATCTCCAAAAATTCCTTTCTGAAATTTTTCAAATTTGTTGGATTATACTCCTCCATCTATCATAAACATGACAAACTTCAAGTCAGACCTCACTATCACACTTTTAAAAACTGTTTCCTTTAAAAGCAGAGATATCCTGCACTATATATGAGTACAGTGCAGTTGAAGTTTGTGCAAGGATGTGCTCCTGACGACATTACACAATTCAAAACTTGAATAATTCAAGACAAGTTTTGAAACATATATGAGACTCACATTATTTCAGACTTTGTGCATAAAGTAAGATAGCATTGATATCGTCTATATGGCACTATTTCAAATTCTCATGAATTGTGACCACACTGTACCACCTTACCTTGGCCATCACAGGGAATGTGAAGGCTGTACTGAGAATTCCCAAATAATTTTCATAATATAAGAGTTAGGTTGTATTAATTAAATTTCTACTTGATTTCTGTTGATTTCTATTCTCAAGGAAAGCTGCAAAGAAAATCAGTACATGGGTGTGACTGGACACTTATTACTCAACAGTGATAAGGTTAATAAGTAATGAATAAAACAAGAATTTAGTTACTTTTACAAGTACATGAAAGGTAAATTGTGTTACAGGGTAAGGGGGAAGGGCTTAATATCAAAATGATACATTTGGGACAAGAAATAGAAAAAAGCAGACATTTGTGCTTTCAGGTTATTAATAAAAGAATAATGTTCCCAAATATAATAAAGGATGATGAGTTCTATCTTCTGTGATATATCATGCAATCAGTCGAAAGAAAACCAACATTTCAAAGGAACATCAATTAACTTCCAACGAATCACACAGCATTATGTTCCAGAAGATAGGACTCTTCATAACCACCGCTGTGAGAACCTCAAATCCTATGATACAGAATGTTTCAGAAACCATGTGCTAGAATCGTCTACCCTCCTTGGTGTACAGTATCATGCAAAATTTTCATATTGATATCTTCCCAGAAAATAACAACTATATTTTCCAAAATTTCTTATGCGATTATACAAATTTTCATTCTGCCCACATCAAAAAACTGATGTGAGAAATATCCGAACGAATTGTGATGTATATTGTGCTCAAACGCCCATTTTAATCTTCTGCTGTAAACTTTATGTGAATATTGGTGGATTATAACAACTAGAGAATTCCACATATGACATTTACTATTTCTCCAAGAATGTCATCAATTAAAAAAGTAGCTGCAGTGCTAGGTGCCAAAGTTCATCACTCGGACATGTGATTATTTTAATATGACTTAAAGACAATAAGTTACCAAGGGTCAGCTCATGAGAAATGTACACAGACTCATACATTCTTTATTTTCTTCCTGCTTATCAAATGGGCTCCTTTCATTGTTAGTTGCAGAACTAAGCTCTTGAGTGGCCGATGGCTGATCAGACATTATTTTGTGATACGAGTGACCATACATTTTCAGTTTTTCATTGAAGCAGCTCCAAAGACTGAAATGGTTCTCTCTGGTTTCATACATTAATTGCTTACATATTTTCCAAATATGGTAATAAAATGAATTCAAATCTGGAGCATATAGTGGCCACCCGACAAATTAAACTGCAGCATCATCCTGCACAAAGAGCAGGTAATATAAATGTGGAAATTCCTATTTTAACAAGTAAAAAGTAAAGTTTTCCTTGTGTTTAACTAATTAAGCACTATGCTATGAAGGTGTATGGGGGTATGGATGTACAGATCCACATTCTCTTGACCTCAGCACTAGTTGGAGGTGAGTGGTCAGCTTCATGCCCCTGCCACTTTACCCCAGGGTAAAAAGAGCCCCCCTGTGCCCATTGGATAGAAGGTTGGGTGGACCCCCAAGCCGGTTTGGATGATTTGGAGAAAAGAAAGTTCTCGACCCTACTGGGACTCCTACCCCTTGGTCGGCCAGCCCATAGCCAGTTGCTACACCGACTATGCTATCCCGGCTCCTGTTTCTTTATTTTTAACAATCAAAATATAAAATATTCTGCTGTATAATGAATACTTTAACACATCCCTTAAGCACATACTTAAGTATGTTCTACACGACATACAAACATTTCATTCAAATCCATATAGCTGTTCACCTATGTGACTTATTTTTTAAAGCAGCATTTTATAGCCCTTATTCTCCACTGATTTATGGACCAGTATTAATCTCTGCATTACATTTTATGGACATCTTCATCTGTAATATATTATATGAATCAGTGGAATCATATAACAGAGAATATAATGCACTAACCTTTTTGGCTGCTGAAAATGCAATTCCTGAGTATGCATACCTGTCCACAACCAGTGTAACACCCTTACTAATGAGTGACTTCATCTTGGGTCTGAAAATAAAAACATATTAATTTTAAACAGTATCAGAACATTTAATATACTCAAAAGAATATGCCTCCAGATGTGACCAATGTTGACATTTCTGGCCTCTAATGACCTAGGCAGATATTTCTGAGGTGGAGGAGCCCACAGATCAGATTCTGGTACATCCAGTGACAGCTTAACAAGGGGCGAGAGGGGAGGATTTCTATTCTTCATATTACAGTTTTCTCTTTGGTAGAAGTGCAGGTTTCAATCTGTGAAGAGAAAAATCCACAGTTATATTCATAGATCAACCTCTGGACACTCTGAATGAAAATTTGGTGTTTTTACCCAGAAACCACTAAGTCCCCTGTATGTATATGTCTTGATGTGAAGAGTGACATGACCACCCACCAAGTATGCTCTCAGCTATACCAATGCTGGCCACTAAGATGACAGTGGGTGTTGCAGGGCAGTAAGGGATGTCCTGCTCAAGCACAGACCACTAGGGGCATCACTCAGCATGGTCAAGCAACCAGGCATCACACTCCATGAGGCTTATCCTCGACATTTGGCATGCTAGCTCTTGTTGGTCTTCCCTTGTTTAAGCACACTGCAGACTGGGTGCTATGAACAGCTTTGACTTAATCCCATATCTCCACTGATGTTGTCAGGGTGCAGCCAGATCTCAATGGCCTCCTTCACTAAGTAGTATTACCGTCCCTCTTCTTTCCCTCCTTCCACTTTTCTTCTTCTTCTCCCACACACACTGGTCGCACTTGTAGGTTCTTCTTTCTTGTCCTAATTTATCTCAGGGTTATTTTTAAGAAGGTGAGGTTTGTTGATTCGGTAGAGCTGAGGGTCTCTTTATCTCATAGCCTTGAACGGGCCCCAACTCAGAGAAGGAATAAATGAACACCACTTCAAAAGCACATATCAAGTTTAGACAAATTATATTATTGAACATTTGTTTAACCACTTCTTGATACAACTTCAATATCAGTAACTTTTATGTCTAACTGCTTCGGAGCCCGGTGTGTGAATTTTTGCGTCTGATTCTTACGAGCACCTCTTTCCGACTTTATACGTCTGATGTTTTCAACCCCCGGTTTCCGACTGATGCTAAAACATGACGCTTCCTCAGACATTCAATTCCTGGCTTTCACCAGCGTCACTGCCCTGTCACACCCTTAAATTTTAGTGATTGGCTATTTTTTAAAAATAGGAGTATCTTACTTACATATTCCTCCACTCCGTTTAAAGCTTACAAGAGTTTAAGGATTTTTGACTCCAACGTATTTCTGTCAGAATTTGACAAATGCTTAAGCATCGCTTGGGCCCTAAAAACTTCACTCTTTTTAAGTTATGGCATGCAGAAACTGCCAAGTATTGAATTTACAAAAGATTTCTTTAGCCATTCTCCAACGCAACTTTCCACCAATAAACCGTTGACGGGTGTCTTCCTGTTTCTTGTTGTAAGCGTGAGAAGACGCTTACTCTTACATATAAGAATTGACCTATGTCTCACTACCTTTGTTAACTGCATTTCATTTTGAACAATTAAGCCTTCAAATTAATAAAGTTGATTACATTAAATTAAGTTGCGTAGCAGTGGGACGGTTACAGTAGTACATTCAGCCTGTCATGCTGGTCAGTCTGCCCTTGAAGTTCCTGATGCTCTGCCTCCATGCTCGCCTCTGATACCACGAACTCAGCTGGTTGGAAGAGTCATATGTGCAGCATGTTTATTACACCTTGCCAACATGCTCCAACATGGGACGACCAAAATCGTGGTGAAGATTAATGGCAGCTAGCATGCTGGGTATTCAGGTTAAGCACACGGATTTTGATAAATGACTAACACCACCCCCTGTCCTCCCAATGGCCCATGATGGGATGCCACATCACTGTATGATTCTACCCACTGTTCCATCACTGGTGCACACTGGAACAGCTGAGAGATTTCTGACTGTCTCTGAAACAGCAGATACTAATTCCTACTCCATACAACTGAACACGTGAAAAGACATCATTCCATACAATCAAACATATATTTTAATTCATGCAGCAGGTAAAAAGTAACTCACCTGGACAGCTGGTACCAATTTTTGGGAGAGGTACTGGGACTTTCTTACTTCGTCATTACAATAACCTAGCCACTAACTACCAGGGGGACAACAGTGCCTTCACTGCATTTAGCTGGTGGACTTTCTTCTTAGTGTTCAGATATAGGACTAACTAGCTACCTAACTAACTCCATGCATCAGGGTCCTTCTTGGGAAGCTGCCAGTTGCTCAGCCATTCAAGAACTCCTGAACAATCTATGGAACCAGAAGGTTCATTAGTGTGTTCCCAAGAGCCCTCCACTGGTCCTCATCCTGAACCAAATGAATCCAATCCATACCACCACATTCTGTTTCTCAAGGATCCATTTTAATATTACCCTCTGACCAATATCTACAGGACAGGCACATAAAACGCAGTATTATTAGGATAATCATGGAATTCAAAAGATTATTACTGATTCTGAACTGAAAGTGATATGATGGAGAGACAGCCTGCTGACTGAAATTGAAATTCTGAAGCTTTCAAATGCATTAAAAGATGCTGTTTTACAAATCACGATGTTCAGCCTCAAGCAAATTGAAAAATACACAACAAAGTCAAGTGCTCAACTTACTCCATCTCCCATCTATTTGCAGAAAAGAGAAGGTGAATAGCATTATCTGTCAGATCAATATTTTTCATCAAATAATCATTTATTAACTGTCCAACTGCAGTAGTACGATCTGTAAAAATGAAAAAGAAAATAAATTGTCATCAACACTATAAATGTGAATCAATATAGAAGAATAAGGTTAACAGAACTACTTGGGATTCCGGTCCTTCTAAATTTTGTGCATCTTAAGATTCTGTTCATGTATGTTCACAAGAAAATATGTACTATCTTTGGCATGTGTTTTATTCCTCTTGTCTTTGTGAATAAATCTAAGGAAACATATATTAATAGAAAGAACTCCTGCTCAGATACTGACACATACTTCCACTTTATTTCTATGAATAAATCCATAAAATTGAAGTATTTGTAAACACACCAATCAGTGGTCTAATCAAAGTTTTCTGTGACATACATTTCACACTATATCTCATGTCAACACTTCCCTGTAATATGACATACATGAAACTGCCCAAGATCCTATGCATTGTGGACTCCCTGTCTTATAGAACAGCGAGTATAGTCTTTAATTCTCTGTGGAACTTGACCTTCAGATGGAAGGGTCATGAGGTCTCAAAAAGAATTCAATTGCATAAAAATGTTCCTGCATTCCAAGAAGCGTTTTATTCATGCTGTGGAATGTTTTTCTGTAATACATCTTGAAAATTATTATCTTCATGGAATGCATCCTGTTCTGTGTATAAATATATTCGTTTTTATATACAGTCAACATGACAATCAAATAAACAACTCACTTCCACATTTGTGTCAACTGAGTTTATTTAACTTATGGTACAGCTACTCAACATGTTTCAGCTCTCACAGAGCCATCGTCAGGCGATGCGATATATAAAGTCACAAAATACTGAACTGTAACTGTTACTGATCCATATTACAAAATGTCATGTATACTGCAAAATTACTTATAAAATAATTTGTACCGTTTTTTTGCACAGACTGAGTCTGCTCCATGAGAGCCGAAACATGTTGTGTAGCTGTGACGCAAGTTAAATACACTAAGTTGTCACAAATGTGGAAGTGAGTTGTTTATTTGATTGTTGTGCTGATAGATATATAAAAACGAATATATGATTATGTTCATAGCTAACAGAGCTACAATGTGTACAAATAACATACTCACTTACTCATGGAGCTGAGCCCTTCTGG